CTGACTGCGTAGGACGCAATGAGGAGAAAGCTTCAGCTGTGAGGTACGCAGAGCCGGTAACATACAGGTAAGAAGCTTCGCCACCACCACTCACCTCATTCAGCTATTCATAGACGACATAATAATGCTTGCTAAATTGAATTAACTTATTCTATGGCTGTAAGCTCTGAACAGATACGATACATTTTCATTAGATGAGTGAAAAGTTCAGTGAGATTGTGCAAGACAAGAGTTCCTATTTGGGAAGAATTTAGTCACTGCTAGTGACTGTTATAATTATTAACCAAAAGTATGATAGGTATCTGCCTCATGCATTTTGGCAAACACTTAAAGGCTTACTTCTCTGTTGGAGGGCAGTGCTTCCTGGAGTTCTAGGTCACAATTAAACTCTCTCCACTTCTCCCGCAACCTTTGATTTCCATCTCCAGGCATTCTATCCAGCTCCTCTGCTTCAACTCTCCCCCTATGCAGCTGTTTCTGCTGGTGCCTGCTCTCTAGGTGTTGGGTGCTGGCTGGGTAGTGTTGCTCCTCCCACCTCCCTCAAGAGCTCCACAAGTGTCCATACCCTCCTCCATCCCCTTTCTGGCTACTCCACTTCCTTATGTTGCTGCCTTCTGTTTCTGAGTTTCCATTCTGCTTTCTTCTCCTGGTAATCTTCCTCCTCATTCTGTCTGCCAAATCTAAGTCATCAAACAAATACTTGTGTCTCCGGATTCCAATTTACAGTGCAGCCACTCCTGCTGCCTGAGGACTGGCTGTTCTTCGGTCCAGGCTCTTCTTCATGGCCACAAATTGCCACTGACTTAAAGCGTCTCCTTTTCTGCAAACTCAGCCTGAGAAATGCACTTCCTGGCTTTTGATGAAATCCTGTCCACATAACCTAGACAAGAAAGGCAGGGGATGCCTCTCTGTGGATGCTGGGACCCTGTGTGGATGCAGGGCCCCCCATTTCCACACTGGCTCAGGACAGCTTGACTTTTTACAGCACAACTGGGAGACAGGATGCAAAGCAGCCCCACTCCCACCCTCCCGTCCTAGCACTGTTACCTGTTGTAGGCCATGCAGGGTGTTACGGGAGACGCAAGACAGGTACCATGGGGTCCTCTGGCTACAAGCTTACTGACACTTGGAAGACCAGCAGCTTCCAAGAGCCCTAAATACACTGCTGCAGGAACTCACATTCATGTTCACAGACCTCAAAGTGTGATGTGAGGAAGTCCTTCCTTCTTGCTTTCTGTGTCCTAAAACTCTAAGGATCACTCCCTTTATGTGTTAGGAACATCTCAGAGCTCCTTGGGTAGCAACAGGGTTTCCGCTCTATGAGCTCTTTGTCTGGTCTGACAGCAAATAAAAGTGTGAGCCTGAGGCAGGAGGATTGCAAGTTCAAGGTTAGCCTAAACAACTTAGTGGGACTTTCTGAAAATAAAAAATTTTAAAAAGGGCTAGGAACATAACTTACTGGGTTCAGTTTCTAGGATCACAAAAAGATATCTAGCTTACCAAATCTACCCCCCCTTTTTCTTTCTTCTTCCTTCCTTTTTGGAAAAACTGTAATTTTTTCCTATGACCATATTTATAGTTATTAAATATTAAGTACCAGAGAATTTTATGAGGCATAAATTCACCTCCTTCCTGATTTCAGGCCACCCCTATCAAAATGTCTGTCTTCTGAAACCACACATTGTACAGTATCTGGGATCAGACAATATTTTATATGTAGCAGAATGGAATAATTCTTGTTTGAAAAGTGAATGTAAGTCAAGGGCATGTCCTCTTTTGCACGGACCACTTGGTGTTCAAGAAGTTCTCTGTGTATTAGAATTGAAACCCACCTGGTGGGTATGTTTTAGCACAAGCAGCTACTATTCAAGTGTCACTGTGGCAGAGATGGGGGTGCTCACCAAACAGCCGTGAGCTCTATGTCTTCTGGACAGCTAGATCCAGACAATGCATTGTAAATGGAGATGATGTGTCACCTGCAGGCCGAGGTGCTTGAGAGGGACTGTGCCCCCGGCAGTACTCTCTTCTCGTGTTCTAGCCTCTTTGAATGGTGTGGCTACAAGGAGGCTGCTTGTCCCTCAGCGGGCTTCATGTGTACGGGAAGTAAACTTTTGCTGTATTAAACTACGGAGATGTTTAGGTTTGTTCTTTGCGGTGGCTGACACTACTCTGATAGTCCCTGAAGCTAGGCCCTGTAACACAGTAGGCACGCAAACGATATCTGTTAAATACACAGCCGGATGAACAATGAATCTGTTTCAGGCAGGTGGAAGATCAGGTTCTTTTCTATACGTGATTCCGTAATAGCAAAGTCTATAGTACAAAGGCGATCTGCTGTCCTTTTTGGGAGAAGCCCTTCACTCGTGCTTAGTTCACATGGGTCACATAGACATTTAGAATACTCTCATCCAAAGTTCAACTTAGCTTATCAACCACTTGCTGGCTCTTAGTTTTACCTCGTCCTATGCTGGGAACTGGGAAAATAATTCTTGTCCAGGTAGCTAATGGGCTGTCTCACAACAGCTGAGTGAGACAAATGTACAGATAACCAAACCGGTAACCTAAGGTTCAGGCTCAAACAGAACCCCGTCAGTGAAACCCTCTGGACTCACTCTCCTCCTGACACTTCCCACCGAATCTCTGGTGCCCCACACATCCACGTAAAGGCCCCAGGACAGGTACTGCCTTTGCCTTAATACTTGTGCACATGCATGCCCCCTCCACTGGGGTTTACAGGTGCAGACAAGGGTAGGTTTGTGCGGTGTACTATCTGCGGCACACAATAAGTGCTTCTTAGGTTTGTAAGCTGTGTCATGAAGAAGAATATGCTCAATGCAAGGAGAATGCTCTGCCTTGTGGGATATCTTGCAAAATGAGACTGTGAAGGAGCTGTGGGGGCGATTTGAGAAGGCAGATGGGGTATAAAGGCGACATTTTGGGGCAGGCCAATTGGTGTCCATGAGCAAGCCCAGAACATAGTAAAAGAAGAGGGAGAACCATAGAATGGGGGAAGAGGCCCAGAACAGAGGCCAGGAAAAGTAGGTGAGGGATGTAGGAAGGCATAGTTATGAGGCTGCCATGTTTGTACCTAATTAATCCCGGACTAGAGGATCGTGGAATGTGCTTGGATTTTTTTTTTTTTTTTGTCTTTTTGAGACAGGGTCTCACTATGCAGTTCAGGCTGGCCTTGAGCTCACAACAACCCTCCTGCCTCAGCCTCCCAAGTGCTGGGATTACAGGCATGTGCCACCACGCCCGGCTTGTTTTGCGTTTTGAAATGTGCAGGGAGAACTGAGAATTGGGAGCTGGTGACTGGAAGATTGCTCCCTTCTCCTGATCTTCAGCCGTGGTCAAAGGAGCAAACACTAAAGAGATGAAGGATGGCAACCACAGTAAGAAAAGTGATGAATGAGAAGTGGTAGAAAATTTAGCCTTTTAATTTGGTTGTTAGGGAAGTACAAGAGGGAGAGATTTTCCGGGAGAGGGGCTAATTCACAGGGCACAGTTACAGACAGGGTGGCATGGGGTCACAGGGCACTAGTGGAGATCTGGGTTTAGCCAGGAGAAGGGGAGATGATTTTGTGGTACAGGAGCAGAACTGCTGTGTAGTAGAGGTGAGATTCTGATCAGGCTCGTGGAGGGCAGGAGCCCTGGTGCATAGGAAGGAGGCAAGGTGGGGTAGCTGTGATGGGGTTGGCCATATGGGATTGTGGGGATATTTGGAAGCGCTACTGTGATACAGTCAGCTAGAGATCAGCAATGTTTGCTGGAGTCCTGGGAAAGGTTACTGAGCATGAATAATCACGGGATGGCAGCATGCCTTAATTCTGAATATAAGGTCAAACTTTTCTCTCCATCTAATAGTTAACATTAGATGTAGGTAGCAGTTCAACAATCCGTCTCACGCTTCCTCCCTCTGACCGCTCCCCTCATGAGAGCACATTCCCTGGCCAGTCTGGCTGACTTCCCTCTGGGCAGGTCCTTCCCTAAGCCTATCTTTCTTGGAGGTAGTGATTCTGTTTTTCCTGCAATGAGTGGTTTCCAGAAAAAAATGAAATAAATACCTCAATTCCTGTACTCTGACAGTCATCCTCTTATTTCTTTCTGAAAATAAAGATGGATTAGTTGAATTGCTTTTCACAATTCAATTTCAAGGACTCCATAGCTTCTTTAAAATTTCTTGGCAATTTATTTCCACCTACCTGTTTGAAAGAGGCAAAACTACACTCTTATCTTGGTCACCCTAGCTAGCCCTATTATTTTCTTATTTATGATTTTTAAAAAGATACAAACAGAGCTTCCATGATATCCAGAATGCAAAGTTGCTATGGTGCAAGTTTGCAAAAATTATCTGCATTACAAACAACATGTAGCTTATTTCATCTTCAAGTATGAAAGCGTGTCACCTCTGTGATTATATTTATATACAGGCATTAGTATAATACAATTATAATTTTGTGTTCTGATGTATATTGATTTTTAGGAAGAGAATACTGGATGTTCTCAACACAAATTTCAGAAAGAGGAAATTATAATTTAGTAGCAATTTTCGGGCACTTACAGAAACTCTTAACTTTTTGAGGAAAGCTTAATTGAAAACAAAATTACATTAGCTCTTGATGAACTTTTCTGGTTAAAACTAAATACATCCTCCGCTACTCCCATGTATGTATTGGCAGAAGCATGTCACTTGCACGTAGAAGCAAATACTGTATTTTCTCCTGGGGAAACAGTAGCTTATGCTAGGTAACCCCAGCATCTCTTACCACAGACCTAGTCTTCCTACAGCCTGCCTCCTGGTTAGCAGTTCCTTAGACCTGAGCATGAATTCCCCCATTTTCTCCTGTGTGACATTCGCTGTCTTTGACAGCGAATCAGCTTGTCCTCTTAGCCTGTAGCCAGGGAGCACCCGCACAGGCAGCAGCGCGGTTGGGTCAGGCAGCCCGGTGGCTGCGCTCCCCGGCGCTCTCTCCTGGCCCTGCCAGGCACCCGGCGCCTACCTGGAAGGCCCAGGATGGTGAAGTAGGGCCGGCACTCGGTGAAGCCCGAGCTCTGCTTCACGCAGCTCCTCCAGAGCCCTTCGTACTGGAACACGGCGGTTACGGGGTTGTCGTACAGGTCCTGGGTGCTCCACATGTCCATCCCCGTGGCAGCGATGCAGCCGGCCAGGCCCAGCAAGGCCAGGAGGAAGCCCACCACTTGGCACGTGGTGGTGGACATGGCCGCAGCCCTGGCCCTGCCGCCTTCCTGCAGCCAAAGCTGGGCGCCCAGCGTGTGCTGCCCGAGGGGAGCTCTGCTAATCAGACGCTTTCTCTGGGGCTCAGTGTTTGCTCACGGTGTTTTCCTTAGATAGTTCAGTTTCACTCCTTGTTCAAGGGCATTATTTTTTCATTTGTTAGGGAAGAGGCCCCAAGAGGCACTTGTCGGGCTGAGCTGCACAGGCGCAGTTGGCTGAGCTCAGCTGGCAGAGGCCGGAAGGACGCCCTGCTCTTGGCGGTACTGGCCTCCCCTATGCCTGCTCTGTCTCTACCCGGAACTTGGTGCCCTCTGGGAAAAAGGCCAGAGTGGCCCTGGGGTGGCAGGACAGACCCCGGTGACCACTCAGGCCGACCTCATTCAAAATAAGATGGCCCTAAGAAGCACCCACCTTGATCTGTCTAAAACCAGACTGCCACATTTCCTCCTGTCCACTTGTAACCTACCTTACTTCCACTTTTCTGTTTTGATCTTAGAGAAGTGGGAGGGGTAGGTATGGTTATCTGCAATTTTTAGGTGAGTCAAGTGAGACAGAAGTCAAGGAACCTCAAATGGTTTGAGCTAGAGGTGCTTTAAGGAAGGCAAATGTGGGGCTGTCACCGTCACCTCAGTCCAACCCTTTTTGTTTTTATGTATTTTTCCAACTTTTGAGAACATGAATCCAGTTCCTGACCTAGAGATCTGCGGCTGGTCCACAGGTATTGGAATTGGGCCAGCGATCCCCTTGACCTCCATATTCACACTGTCACTCATTCCGCAAGGACCATGGGAAGATGGTGTGGTAGGCACGGGAGGTGCAGCTAAGGCCTGAGAACCAAGCACGGCTTCAGGGCCAAGGACCCTGCCCTGGTTACCGAGAGATATAGCATTTGCCCGACTGTCCATACTGCGCTGTATGCTAGGTGATTTGGGGACAAACTCCTAAGTCCTGGTAGCTCACTTTCTTCATCCCTAACATGTGGGGACTACCCCAGAGCCCTTTCAGACCTCACACACTATCTTCATATTTCATAGCAAAGTTTTTATTAGCGTTAGACAATTAGAAGCTGTATAATCACAATTAAAGAGACACTTAGCTGAAGAAATGAGGTGTTGAAGTTTGCTTCTACAGCTCAGTTTTCTTAGAGAAATGATCAACTTGCTGCTTCTGAGCCTCATATATGTCTGGCCTCTGAGTTTAGAGACATTTAATTAATTCTAATGTTCTTAAATCTGGATTTCAAAGCCTGAAATACATATGCATTCACACACTCATATACATTACAATCTCTAACTAGATTAGTACTCCAGGAAACAAACCCTTGTGTCTGGACATTTCAGTATTATCTTAGCCGCACCCAGTCCCCACTCCCATGGTTTCATTCCCAGAGAACACAGAAGGCAAATACGGAAGATCTTTCCCTCATCTGGACGGGGGCAATCCTCCTGTTGATGCTACTCCTAACTTTACATTCTGTGATCAGTGTCTGGAGAATGAAGTGTGGGTCAGAAAACCCACGTAACAGCATAAGCAAGAATTGAATGCTTGAAAGAGAAATAGTGTTCATGGCTGTGTGTTCCCTAAGCTGAGCTACATGGCTAAGTCTAAAAGGCAGAGAAGGGGCAGCTAGAAGAGGTCACACTGGTCTCAGTCTCCTCTCGGACTCATTAGATTGGGAAAGATTCTGGCACTGTTTTTGTGGACGGGACACATTTTAACTCTTAATTCAACCAAGAGGCAGGTGTGTTATTTTTAGAAAGCTCCATATGTTTGGTTTTCAGTTGTTGAGTTCATGATGTTTATCCAACATCCTTACCCTTCCCATACAACAATTATAATGATACCACAACAATAAGTTGAAAACAGAAGAGTAGAAAAAATATTATCACAAATTCTCTTTTTTTCACTCATAGCAGTTTCTCCCTTAATTTTCCTATGTAAATGTTTTATGCAAAATTTCAAAAGTAGAAAAAAAATCATATTTCAATAACAATGAATTGAGTTTTTCTTTGGACTACTAAGCCAGAAAGAAGGATAAATTGGAGTCATTTCTAGGAAAATGGATGTACCTTGAGTCCATAATGCTAAGCAAAATAAATCAGACACAGAAACTTAAATATCTTGTAGTTTCTCCCATAGGAGAAAATCAGAGGGTAAATAAAGAGCAGAAGAAAAGATACACGAAAAGAAGCAGGGAAAGAGACGGTAGAGAGGGCAAAAGGATCCGGAGACGAGGAGGACTGCAAGGGAGGTAAGGGAAAGGGAAAAGAAGTAAAAAGGATCAAGCTGCAATACGTAACAATTCCCCACGATGAATATATTTATTACACACTACAAACATATATCAATACAAAAATTTTAAAAAAGCTTTTCTTTTTGGTTAAAGGCGGCAATAACTTAACTTTTTTAGAAGAAGAAAAACTAATTTTAAAGGGTCTACTAAAGGTAGCTGTAGGCAGGATGTCGAACGAGAAGGGAAAAATTATAAATCTATACACTTATTTTTTTGTGTTTTAAAACACTTGGAAGATGGGATTTCTCACATCCTGGTGAATTTTCTGGGCTCTGAATTGAATGAACCACTACTTTAGCTGTCTTTGCCAAAGAATGAACAGGAGTCCAGAGAGAAAATCTGATTTTCAGTTCAGAGCAACACGTGTTGAAACCTACTGAATGAGTGGCTATTAGTTAACGCCTGGTCTGATTCTGTTTAATGATAATAGGTGTGGTTCAGCTTTGCTTAATCACTTTTAAAAAGCAGTAAAGTGTTTTGCTGAAATCACTCCTGCATTCAGGCTTAAATAAGACTCCCAAAATATCATTTCAGATTGTAAACTTTGAAGAGCTTATTTTACGGACTTTGGATAAAGTATTTCCATCATTTTCACTAACAACTTTTAAGATTATTAATGTAATGCCATTAATGATAATTAGGTAAAATGGTGGTATAAGTAGTAATAAAAATATCGCTAGCAATCAGGAAGAAATAAAATTAGTATGCTAACAAGAGAAATAAATGATACATTTAATAATTTTGCCCTATATTACCATACTGCATATGCTTACTTTCTGAGTTTAACTTTTGCTGTTCATAATAAAAATTTGGAGAAAATTTTTAAAAATCACTCCATTTTAACTTCTAGACAAGGTATTTGGCATGCTTCTTTCTTACCAATTCTCTGTATAAATTTTTTTCATGCCTAAGAGTTTACAAAATTTGATGTTTTGCTGTTTCTGCTGAATTGTACTTAGGTCAGTAAAGCTTTTATAAATATCAGGAGTGCATTAGTGCCCCATTACATAGAAGTGTGATTATTTACCTGAACAGTGTCTATTCTTACATAGTTAAGTTGTATCTTCCCCCAATATTTTTGTATGAAAGCAATGTTATGGTGAATATTTTATACATAAATCTTTGCCACCACTTCTGAATACTCTGTTAGGATAGATTTGTAGGACTGTCAAAGAATGTGAAGTTTTAAAAAAATTCTTTTTACATACAGCAGCACTGCTTTCTATGAATTTTATTCCAGGTAGTGATATTTGAAAGATCTCACGGCATGCTTACCTATACTGTGAATTTGGTAAGTTATACATGATCACCTGTTTTCGTTACATCTCTTGATTATTGAGTTTGAACTGTGTTTTCCTTTTTGTGGTGCTAGAGATCAGATTCAGGGCCTCATGAATGCTAGGCAAGCAATCTCCTACCAAAGTACACCCCCACCTCTGTTCAATTTCTTTTAAATGCACATTTATAAAACATTTGTTATTTTTTCTTTTCTTTGTCATTTTGTACTCTTTTCTCACTTATTCCATAGAAATTGAGCACTTTCCTATCAATTCGTATGAGCTATTTATTTGTTAAGGAGCTTGATAATGCCGTAAGTACAAAAACATCTATTTACATTTAGTTTCATTCCACATTTTAGGAAAAAACCTCATACATTATACTTTATTTTATGCACTTCCCACTGTCTCGTGCACAAAATGTGTGCAATACTTATTTGTTGAATTATTTTTACTTCAAATAATTTAGTTTTCATTTCTGTTTTCCTCTATTGTTACTGTGCTGAGATAATTATTTTCCATTTAGAAGATAAAATTATTTTAGAACTTAAAAATATTTAGAAGTATTTTATGTATGTTTATGTATAATTAATATGGAATTAATTTTGGTTTATGTGTTGGTTGGTGTAGTTACTTTTTCACTTACAAAAGGTCTAATCAGTAACTTCTGTAGCTTTTCTTGAATAACCTTCCCCCTGCTTTCGAAACCTCCTCTATCTTAAGTTAAATTCACATACCTATCTTTCTAGTTGTAGATTTTATTTCATTAATCTATTTGTCCATCTTTTTATTAAAATGCAATTTGAATTATCAAAACCTTAAATTTTGGTTAAATATCTGACATGGTTAATAATTATCCTCAATTGTTAATGAACAAAGCCTTCACTGTAGCTCAATCAGAAAACAGAGTGGTGGGAATTTCTCCCACCTGGTGGTACTGGTGCTCTATATTCAAAGACTTGTGCCCTGGTGGTCAGTATGTTGGTGGTCAGTACCATCCTCAAGGCTTTCACTGTTCTGTGTTTGCAGATACCAGATTGCAGCAATTATTGGCAGAAATACACAGGAAAGCCCTTTCTTTGTCAAACCATTGGGTTAAGATAGCCATTAAAGCTGGATTTCAGGAGCACCAGGACACAATCTTTCATTTAACAAACCAACACCTCTGTAGGGCACTATCAAGTCCCAGACACTTCATGACCCTATGCATGAGAGGGTATGTCCTTGATGTGGTGGCTGAGCGTGAGATGTGATCTCTCATTTTATAAGATGAACCTACACCATTTTATAAGATGTTATCCACACCATTTTATAAGATGAACCTACATGAGTGGAGAGTCTGTGTTAATACTGAAGTCAAAATACTCAAACAGATGAAATACAATACCAGAATTGAGGCTGCCTCTTTGTCCTGTTACAGACAAAGTGGAAATTAACGCTAAAATAAGTTTTAATTTTGATCTTACTAACTCTTTTTGTGTTACCTATATTACATTTACAAGTGTGGTTTTGGTGCTTGTATAGGATTTATGTAACAACTTTAAATTTATTGTTATGTTTGTATATATTAAATTAACATTGAAGCGAGCATAAT